AGTTAAATAAGTATAAGAAGACATCAGGTGATTTTTTGAAATAGACCTTAGAATCTCAAGGTTGGATGGGATCTCTTGTCAATTAATTAAATAATCAACTCAAGATGCTAACTATTAGATGTTGGAGCCAGATACCTTAGGTTAAAATTCCAGCTCTATACAACTTTGTTTTACAACTTGTTACAGATTTTAAGAAAGACATCGATCTTAATTTTTAAAGTATCACACATTTCTGGACTTTTTCAAAACAAATGAGTGAAAATAATTTTCTTAATAAAAATACCTAAGGTCAACAGGATCACCAAAATGTAAAAAATTAGTCTATGTTCAAATATACTGATGTCTTCAGGAATTAATGAAATTTTCCCTACATTAATACATAATGCCAGTTTTCTTTCCTAACATGGCCAAATAAAAGAGATGGACATCTAGTTGATGCTGAATAAGGCACACAGAAAGTAACTTCTTTGACCATGTTTACTAAGAAGCAGCAACAGAAAAGCCAAAGTATTGTTACCTATGTAATAACATGCTGATTCAAAAATTCTTTTCAGGCGCACCTGGCTGGCTCAGTGGGTAGAACATGCGACTTTTGATCTTGGGGTTGTAAGTTCAAGCACCAAGATGGGTGTAGAGATTACTTAAAAATAAAATCTTAAAAAAAAAAATGCTGTTCAGATGACTGTTCAGAAGATAGTATCACAGCCTCTGACCAATTTTGACATATCTATTCCTAATTGTATTTGTTGAATAGAATCAAGAGTAAGCTAGTAGGATTTTGTTGGTGGGACTAAAACATTAAAGATAAAATAGTTCCAACACCACTGTTCATTGTAATAGGAAGGTATCTGTCGAGAGAAAATAGAATATAAAAGAGAACAATGAAGAAGCTAAAGAAGGCGCTCTAGTTGCTAATCTATAAAGTGATAGGATTGGACCCTATGATACCTAAGGTCCGTTTCTAGCTCTAATATTTTATGATTATTACATGTGATTGGAAAAGAGTATAAGAAAGTGACAAGAAAATAACAGCTAATGGGACTGTATGTCTTTATCGTTATATTCCTAATGCGTCCGGTTCTGGTTTACAAAATTAGGAAAGTGGAAAGATCATGTTTTATAATAATCACTGAGGGTGGTTAAAACACCATGTCACTTAGTAAGGGTAACATTTAATTTTCTGGAATATTCACTTACACAGAAAAGCTCATTCCTCTGCTATATTTAATAAAGAAGTGTTAAAACCTAATTCTCTTCAATAACTGCAAGATAATATAAACCAAGTTGAAGAGGCAAATTCTAAACTTATAATATAAGCAGGTACTGTTCACCCAAGATAAATATAAGCCAATCAACTTAAAGATTCACCCCCAATTATATGCAAGTACAATAATAAATTTTATTTAATTGATTGCATGTAGATGCCTTCTTCAAGAGCAATCAGATCATGTTATGTATCTCATGTTATTCCCCAGCTCCAAACTCTCCAATGACTTCCTGCATAAGAATAAAATGCAAACTCCCTAGCATGTCTAGTAGGTTCTACATCTGGCCCCATCTACCTCTCTGACCTCTTTTTCAAATGGTATCCTCCCTCTTGATTATTCTGCTTCAGTCACACTGTCCTTCTTAGTGTTCCTAAAACATTCCGTCTTGTTCTAACCTCATGGCCTTGCACTTTCTCTTCTTTGCCTGGAAGGTACTACCTTCAGATATTTGCAAATCTTAATCTCTCAGTTCGTTATTCACGTCTCTGTCCAAATATCACCTCACAGAGGCTTTCCCTAAAGATTCCATTCAAAAGAGTGTCACCCTGCTCTTTCCTCTTCCATCCCTTACCAGCTTTATTTTTCTTCTTAGCATCTAGACTAATTGGAAAATATGTATCATTTGGTTACATATTTATTGCTTGTTTCCCCTCTAGAATATAAACACTGTGAGAATATGGACTACATCTGTATCCCAGAACCTTGAACAGGGCTTGTTCAATATTTAGGACTCAGTCAGTACATACTTGTTCAATAAATGAATGAATGAACTAATGCTGATTTTTCAAGATACATGTGCAAAACAAGTGCAAAATAGCACACTTGGCATAGAACCATTTGTATTTTTAAAAGACATACATATTTTTATATGTATGGGCTCTTTTAGGAAAGGAACACAAGAAATTGATAGCATCAGTTGCCCCATGGTGGGGAAATATGAAGGTATGGGTGACAGGCAGGCTTACTTTCTACTGTATATCCTTTTGTATCATTTGGATTTTAAACAAGACTAGTTATTTTCCTTTCAAAAACAAAACAAAAAAGTTTTAAAATTTACCGTAAGTACAATCCTTCATTTAATAATGTTGTATTTATAGAATACTTTCTAATGAACACTTAGTATACAAATAGAAATTGCTAAGCAATTTACATACTTCTTATTTAATCCCCATAACAATCCTATGATATAGGCATTTATAATCATTTCTATTTTACAGAGGGATAACTACAATATAGATTAAGTTAATTGGCTAAAGTCACACTATTGGAAGCACAAGACATGGGATTTGAACTCAGACTAACTGGATGTAAAGCTGAAGTATTTAAATCACTACTCTTTTGGTTGTAAATATATAGTCTCCAGAAATGTTCTCATAGAAGTTAAAAATATATATTTGCCTATTTTTCATAAAAACTTCAGGGCCCAGGAGAGGAGCTCTTGAATGAATATTGAAATAAAACTGAAAGTATGATTTCTGCTTGTGGGATATCAAACAGTTATCTATTCTCAGCAAATACACTTAATTGAGAACTCTTAAATTAGGTCAATAAGGTCATAACTACTACTAATGAACAACAACGATTATCATTTGAGCATGCTGTGTATGTCAGACATTATGGTAAACATCTTGGGGCGCCTGGGTGGCTCAGTTGTTAAGCGTCTGCCTTCGGCTTGGGTCATGATCCCAGGATCCTGGGATCGAGCCCACATCGGGCTCCCTGCTCAGCGGGAAGCCTGTTTCTCCCTCTCCTGCTCCCCCTGCTTGTGTTCCTTCTCTCGCTATGTCTCTGTCAAATAAATAAAATCTTTAAAAAAGAAAACAAAACAAAACCCAGTTAACATTCATCATCTCATTCAATCCTTAAATAATCATATAAGGTATATTGTATAATAGTCTCCATTTTACCAAAACAGAAAGTTAGTTTAGGATAAGTAATTTTTCCAAGATAACATAACTAGTAAGTGAGGAGCCAGAATGTAGACTCAGGTCTAAATCCAAAGCCCATGTTCCCTAAGAACAATGCTCCACTGGAATAAGAACAGAATATTTTCAAACGAACAGAAATGCTGCACGGATTATTTTGAATGTGGAGTCATACAATTCTAAATTATTTCTTAAATTCAAGCTTAAATCTGAATTAGATTCAGGTTCAACAAACACTTTTTAGGAGCAGGAACTATCCTCCACACACTACCTTTTATAGTCTCTATGCAACTTACACCTGTCCTTGGAACTAACTTTAGTGTTAGAGCCAGTGCTTCTACTAGTTAAAAACATCACATAAGAAAGAAATTTCAAATGCAGTGAAGGGCGGCACTAACATCTCGGCTATTTTTTTCCTCCTACATTTCATAGAGTTGACAGCACAAACGTGATTTTGTTGTGTACCTTCATCGATTCAAGGTATCAGTGCACTTTGACAAGATGCACTTTTAAAGTGAAAATTTTATGTACTTCAAATACTTGTTCAGTAACAGAAGAGATTAATTTATTACTGTTGAAGGCAAGATAATCTTTGTTTACTGAAACAGAGAATTCTTACAAGGTAACAGAAACTTAGTAACAAACACTATCTTGCCTTTGGTTCTTATATTCTCTAGCACCAAAGTTCATAAACACTTTCCAAAATCCAAAGCGGAGTGCTGAAGGTAGTAGAATAACAACTACCAACTAAAACCTGTAGAATGCTTAATACATTCTACTTGATAGTTAATAGTTTTTTTTTTTAACCTAAACTACGTATTATACAACAAAATTATTGAATTCCGGTCAAGTAACTTCTTTTCATAAACAGCAGTTAGCCTTGATCTCTCTGTTAACTGAGTGCCTAATGAGCTCCTAAAAGAGTCTTGCAGAAACTAAGAAGAGACAGTATAAAAACTTATTCTCAAGGTTCAAGAGGACCTTTCATTCGCAAAGCACTTTGCCAAGCAGTATCGCTTCCATACCATTCTTGGCAATCCCGCTAGGCAGTGCTGGCAAGTCTTGTCTTGATGCTACAACTGGGACTCAGAGGAGGTTGCTGACCGACCTTTGCCAGGCTCACAGCAGAACCTCGCAGGACAAAAAAAGTTTTTAAGTTGGAGAAGCAAAACTCCTTATTTGATAGTTAAGCCCAGAGTTACATTTACATCTGTATCTGAAACAAAACACTCTGAATTAGGAGTGTGGAATGAACTTTACACTGTAAGGTGCAGGGCAATGAAAGTGCTCTGCCAGTCTGGGAAAGGGGCCAGGATGCCTTTTAAAACGTCCGACTTCCTCAGAATTTAAGGCAGTAAATTTCTGCCCTTCCTGATGAGCAGTCAAGGGCTCCTGATCAGGCAGAGTTCTGCTCTAGCGGGTTCTCGAATTCGTTCTTCCTTTCACTTTCTCCCCAGGGACCCAAACTACCCTCATCCCCGCACACACACACCCACTACTTAACCCTTCCGCATTTGTCAACAAGCCCATCCCGTCCTCTACTCCTCAGGCGGCCCCAGGAGCCTTCCGCTTCCAGCGAGATGGGTCATCAAAAGAAGCGTCTGGAGACGAGAGGTTTCTCCTCGCGTGCCTCTCACTCACCTCAGGTCCAACAAAGATTACCACAACACTTCACTACGACGTCCGCCTCTCCACGATTCAAACTCAGCCACAAGATTCAAACCCAAGCCAGCTTTTTCAGCACCTCGTTTCATTGGCTGCCGTCTTCGTTACGCCATCACGTCGGACGTTGCCGTGGCGCGCTGCCGCTTGGCGCCAGGAGTCTCAGCCGCGCAGCTCGTGGCCTTGCTGCGCGTCGCCAGGGCAACGCGCACGGCTGTTTCCGGAGGCGTCGGCCGAGGTGGGCGGGGCTAGGCCTCAGCTGCCGGTGGGAGGTAGCCGCCTGGGATCATCAGGCCGCCTCCAGACCCGCGGGCGCATGGCCGGGTCCCAGGGTTCAGGGTGTGAGTGAGACGGGAGAGGGCAGGGGTTGGCTTGTGCCGTCTGCTTGTGGGAGAGGTGGAGCCTGTTGGGTGTGGGTGAATGGGTTCTGAATGTTTATATTCTCCTTTTCTTTATTTAGTAGTGAGGCCTCCAAGGTGCGGGTCCCATGCTCTCGTAGGTGTAGGGACCTGTTTTTAGCCACTTTCACTGGATCGAACTGGGGTCAGTGTTTCTATTAATTGAAAGTCCAGGGCTTTTGGTTTGAGGCTCCAGTCTTCATTCCTCAGGACTCCCAGGCCTACTCCCTTTATTGCTGACTGAAACTATTTGGTGTTTTGTTGTTTTTTAATTTCTTTCTAATGATGACTTTACAAAATAAATTCATTTAAATTTATTGTCCTAGTTCATTATTGGATGCAGTGGTTTTGTAAGTCTTAGATTGTAGATATTATTTCAGAATGTATGCTTTAATAAGAAAAAAATACCAGAAAAAAATGGGAAATGTTTGCTAAGCCATCTTTGTCAGGATATTTTTAATAGTGTGATCTGAATGTCATTGTTATTCTTTATATTAACATTGTATTCATTCAGCAATTTCTGATTGTAGACTTTAGGGACATAATACCATAAGTAAAAATCCCTGCCCTCTTGGAGTTTATATTCTTATATGAAGCTTATCCCCATAATGAATAGGATGGCACAACACATTGCAGAGTATTACAAGTGAAATAATATATGAAAACCTCCGTAATACGGACATTTATTTCCTATTGAAGAATCAGAAGCACTGTATTGTATATGATTCATGTTATATGATTGTTTCTGAACTCTGGATAGAGCATCAATAAAGACACTAATTGCTGGCTATATTACATATATCTTAGCTAATGCAATAGTTATTTGTGTGGTGCTGGGTTTGGTAATAAAATTGAGAAGCCTTTTTATTTTATTTCAAATATGCACTCACTCTATAGTACTTTACCATTGGTGTCCCAGGCATTTTGTTAACTTTATATATGTTATTTCATTTAATTCTCAAAACAGTCCATGAGATGTAGGCACAATTTATTTTACTGAAGAAAAAAACCTGAAGTTTTCAGAAAATCCCTAAATTATTATTAACTGTACAAACCAGCCAATTCAGAATTGAGGACTTTGTCTCAGAAATACTTTCTAAATTAAGTGATGTTAAGATGCTTTCTTAGTCTATTCTGAAAATAGGCATTTTTTAAAAGCCAATTTCTTACTTTACCATTGGTGTCCCAGGCATTTTGTTAACTTTATATATGTTATTTCATTTAATTCTCAAAACAGTCCATGAGATGTAGGCACAATTTATTTTACTGAAGAAAAAAAACTGAAGTTTTCAGAAAATCCCTAAATTATTATTAACTGTACAAACCAGCCAATTCAGAATTGAGGACTTTGTCTCAGAAATACTTTCTAAATTAAGTGATGTTAAGATGCTTTCTTAGTCTATTCTGAAAATAGGCATTTTTTAAAAGCCAATTTCTTGTAAAATTGCATTGATGGTGAATAAGAAGTGTTTTAGATATCTTTTTTGACACCCACATTGTAAGGCTTGCTAACAGGTGTTTCCACACCTAATCTAAGTGCTTATTTTACATTTAACTTTAAATTCTGTCTTACACTTGCCCTTTAGCACGTTCAGATGATGAGGTCCATATTCTTAACAGTATAGTTAAAGCAAAGAACCTTTAATGTTACAATCAATGCCATCACTGTGCCAGCTGTCTTCTGTTTAGTTTGGCGAAACATTAAGGAGTATAACAAAGTATAAGAGACTGGTGTATTTTGGAACGAAATGAAGGAAAAAGAACCAAAATCTTAAAAACACGTAGTGCTGAAGGAGACAGAAATTCCCACCTTTTGTTAGAAATTGGAGTATAACTAATGGCTGTGTTATAATAGAACACAGAAATTTAACATAGCTTCATAATAAACCAAACAGTGGAGATTAAGGATAAAATGGAAAGTTAGATTTAAACTTGACTCAGACATTAAAAAAAAAAAAAAACACGTAAAAGTAAATTTAAACCTGGCAGTAGTAGGTTCTTATTCCTGCCCCTTCCAGGAACACTATTTGAAACCCCCAGTGCCGGCAACACCTTTTGTCAGCTGGGTCCTGGAAACAGCGGAACGAAAGGCAGACGGTTTTGTGTTGCTGGGGCGGACGTGGGGCCAATCTGTCCGTCCTTGCAAGTTTCCCCCAAGGTTGGGACCTAGACGTGCGGCAGATTCACGTTCTCTGGCACCATAGTGGTCGTCGCTGGCCCGAGTTAGAAGCCAACTGAGAATTCTTCGTGCCTCAGGTGAGGAGAAGGTGGCCGAGACCCGGGAGCTCTTTTGGAGCCCACCCCATGCCTTTGGGGGAACTTCCAGAGGTCGCCGGATTCGCCCAGGACAAAGAAAACACGCTCCTGCTCCCGCTTCCTCTCAACACTCATTCATTTGAGCTCAGAAGTTTGTAAACAGTTTTCCCTCTTCCGAGTATAATTCTTAAGCAAAAGGATGCATTCTTCCTTAACTTTAGAACCTCTTTCACTTTCTGTGCACTCGGCTGCCAGCTTCCAGGCTGGGTTTTTGGCCTTAGGAATTAAATTTTCCAAACGGTTTTCTCCGGAGGGAAGGCTAAGTGCAATGATGGTAATTGGTAGCACCGTTGAGGAAGTAGCTTTCAAAGGTATCACTCACCTTCGTGTTCCCACAATTGAAAGGGTAACCTGGCCAATTCCCTGGATTCAACAGCTTAAACTGAACTTTGCTGGCAAAGTTAAATGATTTACCTAGGGAAACCACAGAGTTGGCTCTAGCGGTCAGGTTTCCCGACTCCCCGCTTCCTTCTTGTGACCGGAGGAAACTTAAACTACCTTAAATCATTTAGGGTGCTTGGTTCGGAGCCAGCTGCAGGAGTGCTCTGGGTTATCTGGTAGGAGACCGGGCTGCCTAAAGGGATGGAACTGCCTAATATAGAGTTTGCCCCTTTCCATTCTTAGGGAGGTATTCAGGAAACAACCAAAGAGGAAAATTATTGAAATCCTTTCTCCATGTTGACCCACGTTAGTAGCCAATTAGTGCATAATAAAATCTTTCAGCTTTGTACCTGGAACAAAGTTGAGTAAATACATAGAAATTGAATGCAGAAGAAAAGAGTTAAATGCTAGCAAAAGAAGCATTTCCCCCCCCATCTGTTTAACTTGCTTTTTCCTATGTGGTTTTGATTCCTGTATTGGAATTGATTCACATATTTATATCTGGACACACAGTGTAGACTGCTTAAATATTCCACATTCCACTATTTACGCCTATACATTGCATGTCCCTATTACACTGTATTTCCAAATGGAGTAGGACCAAGTAATAGGATATTGGTTCTTTACAGAAAAAGAATCTAATTCATGAGATAGTACAAATATATAGTCAATGTAATTAAAGTACCATTCAATTACATGGGTGCAATAAGTAGAGCCAGTAGTCTATGTTTGTAGCATAGAGGCTAAGATAAGATTTAGGCTCTGGGGATAGAATGTTGGAGTTACAGTTCTAGCCTTACAGCTCTCTAGGTATATGACCTTTTGGCAAATTACTTCTCTGTTTTCCTCATCTGTAAAATAGAAATAATACTACCTACCTCTAGGAGGTGTGGTAAGGATTGAATGAGTTTAGTAGTATTTGGTAAGTGTCCAGTAAATGTTAACTTTTATTTTGAAAAATGTTACAAACACTAGGTTAGAGGGTAGTTGGGTTTACCTTGTATAAGCTTTCTGAAAAACACGAGGCACAATTAATAATTTGGCTAACTTGTCACCCGTGAACATCCAAAATATTATTTAAACACTTCCAGTCTTTTTTTTACCCTATATTTTTCCTGTGTCACATTTGCCACATAATTCTGTGGATTATGTCTTAGGTAAAGTTGGCATTTCCTTAAGATAACATTTTTTTGGTTTATATATTATATTTATATAATATAAATGTATTTCTTTTCTAGTCAATACATGTGATCAACTTCAACATTTTTCATTTCTGTTGCAAAAAGAAGGGAAAGCATATTTAAGCAGGATATTTATGTTTCTTTTTTTGGTGGGGGAGATATTTATGTTTCTTGAAGCATTTTGAGAATGTGGTTTTTGGTACAGTCAGGCAGGTGAAATTTCCTAAAGTAAGTTTTGATTAAAATATTCTGTAGAATCTAGAGTTTACCCATCCATCCATTCATTTTTTTTTCCTTCAGAAAACACTTATGAAGCACCTAGTGTGCATCTGCTTTTGTGGATATAAAGATGTGGGTCTTATTCTTAAATAACTAATAATCTATAAGGAAGGAAGAAGAGTGTTAACTTGGTATTTACTGTAGTAGTATTAAAAACATTGCTTAAAATCTAATATATAAAAAGCATAGTGTTTCCAAAAGGTTTTCTGTTACTATATTTCATAAATACTTTTTCCTCTGCATTTGAAACAGTTACAGATTGCAGAATCAAAAAGAACAAGCGTGAGAAAGTTAAGGAATGTATTAATTATTTGCCTGTTTTGGGGGGGCAGGGGACACACAAAGCATGCCAAAGTATGCTCAGTTGAGTGTTTATAAAGTTATAATTTAAATTGGAACATGCTTTACTGATAGAGGCCATGGTGAGATAATCTCGTCAGAGAATATTCATAACCGGTCTGCAAGATTTTTACAAACTGATTTTTACCTTCATTTCTTTTTGGATAAACATGCAGATCTTTTTCCAGGGACAATTTTTCAAACAAAGTTAAACTGAAGATGAAGCTTTAACATGAGAAAAACAAATAGAAGAGCTTAAAATAAAAGACCGCCTGAACCTGAAATAGGATAATATTCGTAATCCCTTTAATCATCCAGATATCTATTTTTAAATTTAAATTCAATTAATTAACATATAGTGTATTATTAGTTTCAGAGGTGTAGAGTTCATTGATTCATCAGTTGTATATACATCACAACTGCTCACAAGTGCTCAGTACATCACATTCCCTCCTTAATGCCTATCACCTTGTTACCCCATCCCCCAGCACCCCCACCAGATAACTTTTCCAAATAAATAGTTCTAATGCACTGAATCCATTCTTTAGTTAATTAAAGTTAGAAAAGTATATTTCCAAAAAATGATGACTTAATAATCAATTTTTACATCCCTGATCATTAAAACGTTAATGATTTTAGAGCTTATCAGGCCATATTAAAAAGTTATATAAAATTATGTATTTTAAAAATCAACAATCATGATATTTTTAATTTTTTTTCTAGATTTGTTGACCTACAGAATGCTTCGATACCCATATTTTTGTAGGATCTATAAAGAATTTCTTTCATGCTGGTTGGAATCTGGCATATTTAATTTAGGTGTCTGGCCAAAAAAAATACATGATACAACACAAAGATATAATGAATATGAAGCCCAGATGCAAACAGATCAAACTGGAACTCAGGAGATACACAGATCTCAAGATAGAGATTTTGAAGCCATGACTAAATTACATATTCCAGTAATGGTGGATGAAGTTGTTCGTTGTTTGGCACCACAAAAAGGCCAGGTAAGTTGATTAGTGTTACTGTTTTTTAACACTTTTCAAATTGAGATATTCACTTTTCTTAACATTTACAATTTTAAAGTGTACAATTCAGTGGTTTTTAGTATATTCACAAGGTTTTACAATCATCACTATCTAATTCAGGAGCATTTCATCACTCCAATAGGGAATCCTATATTCCATTAGCATTCACTCTGCATTGACCCCCTTCCTCTTGCCCCTGACAACTATTAATCTTTATTTTTTGTCTGTGTGGAGTTTCCTAATCTGGCCATTTCATATAAATGGCTTCATATTATATGTGCCCTTTTGCATTTGCTTAGTATTATTTAGCATGTTTTCAAGATTCATCCAAGTTGTAGCATGTGTCTGTACTTCATTTCTTTTTTCCCTGAACTACAGCATTTATGGACATCCTCTTTACGCATTCACCAATTGATGGCACTTGTGTTTCTACTTTTTGGCTGCTATGAATAATGCTGTTATGAACATTCATGTACAAGTTTTTGTGTGGACATATGTTTTAACTTCTCTTGGGTGTATACCTAGGAGTGGAATTGCTGGGTCATATGGGTGACTATGCTTAACTTTTTGAGGATCTGCCATAGTGTTTTCCAGAGTTGATTAGTTTTGTCAAATAATAGTTTTAAAAGAAAAAGAACATGACTTTGGCTGAGTGGTTTGGATATGAAAACTGAGTTCTAGCATAGATTCTTGATAATTTTGGTATCTTTTCAGAAATGACTAGAGACAAAAGTGAGGATCTGAATTCCTGTTCCTTGTTTTGTTACTTTTTAACTACCTTGCTCTTTGATTCAGAGTTCTTCAGAGAACCAACAGGATATGTGTGTGTGTGTGTGTGTGTATGTGTGTATACATATATGTGTACACACATACACACATACGGGGAGGAGCAGAGATTGAATGATTGATTTCAAGGAATTGAATCTCAAAGAGAGGTAGTAAGTCCAAAATGTGCACAGTAGGCTGGCAGGCTGGAGACCCAGGTAAGAATTGCAGTTGAGGCCAAAAGCAATCTGCTGGCAGAACTCCTTCTTGTTCCAAGGAGGTCAGTCTTCGTTCCATAAAGGCTTTTCACTAATTGGATGGGGCCCACCCACATTATGGAGGGTAATCTGCTTTACTCAGTATAGTAATTCAAATTTTAATCTCATCTAAAAAAAAAAAAAAACTTTCACAGAAACATATACAATAATGTTTGACGAAATATCTGGGCACTGTGGCCCAGCAAAGTTGACATATCCAATTAACCATCATACTTGCCTTATTTAGTGTTGCTGGCAGGATTATGTAAAGTTTTAGATACAAAAATGCTTTAAACTCTATAAAGAGATTACAGAAATGTTAGGTGATATAATATCCAAAAAGACAAAGCTAGAAATTTTCTGGAAATTAAGCACATTTACAAAAGGAAAAAAAAAATCATTATCATAGCAAATTTTCATCAAGTGTGTTTTTATAACTTAATGCTGATACTTAGTGTACTGACTTCAGAAATATGATTTCTTATTTTAGAAGTACTATTATTACCTAAATCAGTTATTTTCATTCTAAAAGTCACACCTTTCTTCTTTTCCAGGATATAGTGGTTTAGTGGTCAAGAGCAAAGATTTTATAATTGGACTGCCTAGGTTTAAGTCAGTCATCTAACACACATTTGTGTGCATACACAGACATACACAGCCTTTAATTTTTTTTTGAGACTTCTTTAAGTTGGATCAGACAGTTTTCATGAACTAAGTTCTAAGCTATATGCATAAAGTATGCTGGAATGGCTGGATGTTGCTCATATGAAAGCCGTCAGTGATATGACTTAGGTTACTTCATCACAAAAATATTCGTTTACCTTATACGTAGGCAGTATATATATATATACATACATATATATATGTATATATATATATATGTATAACAAGGTAAGCCCAGTATTCTTAAATTAGATTATGTGTACATCTAGCTCAGTGTTGTCATGTAGTAGGGACTCTAAAATATACACGAAAATGTAAATAAAATACTAAATTGGATAAAACTTCTTGTTAAATATAACTTAATTAAAATGAAATTCTCTTCATTTTCTGTAAAGATTCATAATGCATGGATAACAATTAATACCCATACCTAAGTGTGAGCCTAAAAAAAAAGTACATATAAATATATATATATGATGTAATTGAGATATATATGAGAGGGGAGGGACAATTAGTAAAAAAGTGGAACAATTTGAATTCAGTGGCTTGAATTTGACCTCTGGAACCAGAAACTAAAGCTCGTTGTATAAATTTTTTGAACCCTAGTAGCAAAAACTTTACTTGAAGTAGAAAAAGAGCCAAACAAAAACAAACCAAGCCCTACAAAATCTCCTATAAATCAGCATTGGATCTGCCTTTGTTCTAAAACCAGATGGAATAAAATTAGACGATTCTACAACTTGACCTATCCTGACGTTTCATTTTGTTCAAGTTTCTGACAAATATAATGTTGGTTTATTTTGACGTTTCCATTGTTCTGATTTGAGTTGGGTTTTCTAGTAACTTTTTATAGAAAGTTTAATTTTATAAATGTTCTTTCTGAAAACTTTCATGTGAGGTACATTTAGAGACAATGTTATTTCTTACCTTTTCTGCTGTCTGGCAGACAGCTTTATTCACTATTCCCTTAATCTTCCAGTAATAAAAACTGGTGACAGTACTTGGACAGGAAAGGTCTTGATTTCTTCCAGAATCCATTATTTGCTTCTTTTCTTCCTGAGCCTTTTCCCCAAAATTATTTTCCTTTGCAAACTATGAGTCATACACTCACTTGTATCAATCACCCACTTAATTACTGTTTTTCATATTACCTTCAATGATGAATTTACAAATGAAACTTTTGATCATAATAAGAATTTTAAAAAATATCTAAATGTAGTTTTCGGTGAGGCCTTGGTCATTTAATGGTTATTTCTTTTTTTTTTTTATCATTTAAAAGTTGCTTATCAAAAGAAAATAATTTTGGGAATTTCTTCTACATCATAACCAATTTAGTGGATATTAATTTAGTTTTGCAAATACATGTTTTACAAAACATGATTTTTACATGTTGTTACAAAACAAATACAGTTTTACAAATTTGGATTAAAAGAAAATAAAAATTTTTCTTATCTTCCTCTTCCTTGGGAGGTACAGAAGGGATTGAATAAATTATAATTCTTTCTCCTAGCCCAGTTTTCATTATTTCATAAATCTGGTGAATAATTTTTTATAAGAATATTACTTATTCTAAAAAATTTTTTTGTCCTTGGAGATGTTTTAGTGTAGGCCACCTTGGTCAATGTTTCATTCATAATTTCTTGAAAACCAGAGAAAAAGCATGACCTGCCTAGTTGAAGATGGTAGCAGTTTGGAGGGTATAGGAGACTTGGTATTCTTTGCCTAAATACTAGTGCCAGTTTAGTTTGGTGCCGTGGGGTTTCTGTAAGAGTGATAGGTTATGAGGGAGATGATGGACATTCAAGGACTAGTACCAGTAGCTGTGTAATTTTGGGCAAGTAACTTATGACTGTGCTTCAGATTCTTCATCTGTAAAGTGAGGAAATGTGACCTACTTCATGGTCACTGTGAGGATTAGATGAGTTCACATACATAAATTGCTTAGAAGGATATCTTCCAAGTAATATGAACTCAATATTAACATTAGCTGTTGTTATTATTACAGGGATAGGAAGGGTTGGAGTTGGTTGCTAGATACAATAAAATTCAGGAGAAAAATGCCAAGAGACAGCAAAGATGGAAATAAAAGTTCAGGAAAGGTGAAACCAACATGTTTGGAATTGAAAAAGTGCTGTTTCCTTTGTACTTTGGAACTCTCCTCATCATGATCCTTCAGGTCTTAAGTCAAATTTCACTTTCTCAGGGAAGTTTTTTCTGAGCCTCCAAGAGGGGCAGGTCTCCCTGTTACACTTTCATGGAGTCATATACTTTTCTTTCATACCATTAATCATAATTTATAATTATAACTTTTTATGAGATTATTTGTTCAGTGGACTGTCCTCCATGAAGTCATGGACATGTTTTTCTTGTTTTCCATTATGTCTCCAGTATCTAGCACAAGGCCTATAGCATGGTGGGTTTGTAATGATTTTTAAGTGAATGAATAAAAGTCAAAGTTAACTGGAGGACAGACGTGAGGCACAAATAAAAGGAATGTCCCTTGGGTACTGAGGTCACTTCTCAGGCTCAAGACTTTTATGTGATTCCAACCTCAGTGTGGCAGGCCTGGTCTGATGAAGTAGTTGGAGAAACCTGGTGAGGAACAGATAGGAGGACTGGGAAAATGAGCTGGTATCTAAACTGATGCAAAATCAATTATGATAAATATCAGACTAAGGTTGTAAGGTTGGTTTTATGCATATTCAAAATAATTATCTTCTCTTTTGATATTCTAACATTTAATATTAATTTCATAATTACTAGATTTGCTGAAGTTGTCATGGTACCAGATATGATAATTTTCTTTATAAAAAAATTAATTATGCTCTGCATGATGGATTTTTCTTAAGATCAGTAGCAATATTTTACTTGAAAATCTTTATAATCTTTAATGTAGAGTAAACATTTGATGAAAAAAAATGAAATGAAAATCCTGAAACTGTATGTTTTGTCTATTTATTTATTTATTTATTTATAAAAGATCTTTATTTGACAGAGAGAGATAGTGAGAGAGGGAACACAAGCAGGGGGAGTGGAAGAGGGAGAAGCAGGCTTCCCGCTGAGCAGGGAGCCCGATGCAGGGCTCGATCCCAGGACCCTGGGATCGTGACCTGAGCCAAAGGTAGATGCTTAGCTTAAGGACTGAGCCACCCAGGCACCCCAGTTTTGTCTCTTTAAATATTGAAGGCTGATTGGCCACAGAGAGGAAGAGTTTAATTTATTTCATTTGACCTCAAATTGTTGAAAAAATTAGGAACTTTTCTAAGAGGCAGGATCTAACCGGAGTTCTTGCCG